TCTTATCATTCATCTGTCTTTCACCTCTTATTCCCACAGCACCTGACAAGATTTCCCACTCTATATTATTCACTTACTTGTTTCCCAAATGATAGGTCAAGTCAAGAGCTTGTTCATCTTGTCCTGTCGATCACAGCACAAGAGCTTGCACATATATAGCCAATCCCTTGACAGTTTATCCCTCCAGCACCTTCAATCTCCATCTTCATTTTTAATCTACATGAACTAATTTTAATTAAGTAGTCTAGGGAGGAACTACAACCGCTACATCTTAAATTCCCTTAAAACATCATCATTACAGGTAATCTACATAGTCTCTGACTTTCAATCTTTAGGATAATTTTCTAAGAAATATGATTCTAAAATACTGTATTGTGAATAACATAAAGAGATTTTGATTGCTCACAGGTTTATAGCTTAATGGAGCTCTCAACATTAGTATTGTCTCAGATTTTTCCCTAAAATGTCCAAAGAGTTGTAAACTAAAAAGAATAGCTAAATTAAAATTTAACCTAAAAAATGTCCGCTTAGGCCATCCAAGATGTAGACGAGCTTGTTTCTTCATCAGAACAGATTTAGAGAAATTTAGCATTGCATCACTTGCCCACCAGTGGATCGTCTGCGGTGAAACATCACAATAATCCACACGATTTCAATCCATCAATTAATGTCTTGTGAAAAGCTGCGTGTTTGTAAGAAACAAAATCCATAATAACACATCCTCTAGTGAAAAAGTCCCGTTATCCTCTAACATCAAAAATTATCAACATATTTGTTTAAAATGCTTTTGGAGTGTTTTTGCTTGTAAACGGTCCTTAATCTGTGCATTTTTCTTCTGATTCAAACAAGACTATTTTTTTTTAACTGGAGAAAGCAATATTGCATATTTTAGCAATGGTCTGACATTAAAAATGTCGTATGATGGATTTGTTTCTACAAATACACAGCTTTTTACTTTAAGAGATTAATTGATAGACTGAAATTGTGTGGATTACTTGTGGATTATTGTGATGTTTTTATCAACTGTTTGGTCTGACAGCACCCGTCGCTGCAAAGGATCCATTGGTGAGCAAGTGATGTAATGCTACATTTCTCCAAATTCGTTCTGATGAAGCAAAAAAAAACTCAGTATATTTTCAGCAAATTTTTGTCTGAATTATTCCTTTAAGGGTAGTCTTGTAGACTTTGATATCCTAGCTAATATGAGCACAGTCGGGATTACTGGGGTCTTTTTCCTCAGAATTCTAAAAAAAATCCAAGAAGCAGGAGATTTAAACAAATGTCTCCATTTGCTCTCTTTATGCAGGGATATAGAAGAGGTTTTTCTTTCCGGTGGGTACTCTATGGCACAGCTGAATGTCATGTGATGGACTGTGAAAAATCTTTTTTTTTGCTTGTACCAGTCTCATCTCCTTTCTTGTCATCTCAGCTAGCTCTGTCAGCATGAGTTTTTGCAGTAATGATCTGCAATTGAGGCAGTAGGGGACTCTATAGACTCTATTTAGTATACGGGCCATATACATCTCTCCTGTGTGTTCACCTGTGAGGTGCTGTACTCTCGACTCTAAGTCACAGCAAACCATTTGCTTACCAAATGTGAAAATGATGCGAGAACTCAGGTAAATACTACATAAGCAATTAGGCTAACACTGGATTACACGTTTTTGCTGGATTATGTTTCGAAGTCCCAGCCTCCGTATTTTCGTTATCTCGAGCTTTATTGTAAAATGTAAATACACATGCAAATATCTGAGAAGAAAAGACAGCTCAAATTACCTGAAATGTCAGCAAATAGGCACTAGAGACAGGTGCTGCTAAATATAAACCTCCATTGTTTACAAATGAACAGTAGAGGGCAGTCACATCTTAATATGAGTTCTTCTTTCAGTACAGTTTGTGCATTTTCAGTTTGATATACAAAAAAAGGTCAACTCTTAAAAAAAAAAAATTATTACCCAAATAATTGTTTTAATGTATGTTTTATACATTGACTTGGCGACACATTTCATTGGTGTACTGATGCAAAATAAACGAAAATCTGACATTAGCATAAAGAAAAAAGTAGAAAAACAATTTATTTGAAATATACTAAACAAAACAACACTGGCAACAATAGCATCATTGCATTATCCCGCAAAATACTGTACCCAATTCATTAAGAATACATTCAACTTAAAGTAGAACAAATCCAACTTGTTACTACAATACAACACAGTTTGCCACATTTAACACTGATGAGATTTAAAAAAAAATAAAAAAATAAAAAAATAGAACTCTGATATATATTTTACAGTGAATGTGTGGTTTTTAACACAACAATACTCAATAAATGTTTAGCACAACAAAATGCAGGCAGACTTATAGAGAAATTTGGCTACAAATATGCAAAATATACAAAAAAGAAACTAGCACCATTTTACAGTAGAAGAAAAATCACATATAAATGCTAAAATGTTCAAGCTTTTAAATTAGCTTTACAAATTAAAAGCAATATTTATCTAAGGTGCAAAAAGAGGAACAATTGCTTTAAATGCCTTTTTGGATGCGGTCCGTTTTGAAGAGGTCATTGCTATGCCTCATTCCCAGCAACTTAAAATGCCAACTCTGAAACTACTCAGGAAATAGGCTAGATCGAACAAAACTGCTGTTATTTTTAAAAATGCACTTTAATGTCACCAGAATAAAATAGGAGAAGAATGTATCAATCTTCATTTCAGAATGATAATTTTTGTTGCATTATTTTATACTTTCAAGCTCAACGCCTTTGAAGTAATATGGAGTATAAAAACCAGTTTGGACAGAGTGAAGCCGAATATCCATTGCAATATTGTACAGTTTTTGTGGCACCTGTGGCATCCCATCTGCGTCTGTCCACCAAACCACCTCAAAAACATTTTTGTGTATTCACAGACACACCTAATGACTAAAGAACCGCCGTTAGCTCACACGATAACACTTCTATTTGCAATAGATCTAGCTCCTCGGGCGACTAACTGCAGTCTTCTTCAAAGAACTGTAATGCACGTGTTTTAAGACATGTTTGCACACGCTGATTGTAATGAGGTTAAATTATATTTTAGGAGTATCGAAAACATCATGTCCTCTGTGCAGTTAACTTACTGTACATTAGTGGTTGTGTACTTGAATTTGTGTAACTGAGTTTTTGGATAAATATTGTTAAATCCTGTCAAAATCCTGAAGCATGGAATATTCTGTGTGCACAGGTCCTTTATCACACTGCCAAAAGAATTTAGCTCCAATTTTGCACTGCTGTAAAATAAGAAGCTTTAAAAAAAAAGTGGTAAATCTGATTGACATGTGCTCATATACTGTTGCCCTGCAGCACTAATAGGCTATAGAGGCTATGAAAGTGTTGGAGAGATGCATTTAACACTCTCAAAAACATCCTGTGCTTATTCAATTTAAGACAGCCAAAAAAACTGATTGAGATGAAACCCATTTACGTGGAATGTAAGGGACACAATGTCAAGCTTTACCACAGGCAATATCACAATACCGCGTGTTGTGGCATGTTCCATTTTTGATACTTAATTTAAAAAAAACACTTAGCCACATCTAAGACCTGAAGCTTTAAGGATTAGGATAATTATTCTAAAGTCAAGGCGGGTTCACACAACAACCTGTGATAGCCAGAATTCCCCCATAATCTTTTTACACATGCTGTCAGTTAAATTTGATGTACAATAAAATTAATTGTTTTATGTTTTGCTGGTTTATAGTAGTAATGCAATGCCAAAGCCTAGTAATGTGATACCGTTTAGGCATAAGACAGTTTAGTTTGCCCGGCAGCATACTACTGTTCTGTCCAAAACTCGATAAAGTTTTAGCAAAGTAAACAGCAAATCAGGTACTATGAGGCTGTCATCAGTAGTGGTAATAGTAGTGGTAGTTAAAAATCCAGTGATTAGCAAAATCAAGCGCAGTCTCCATAAAGTCCAGTTATGGCTTTTGTAGCAGGTCTAGTATAGTTGTTATAGCCATCCTTCGGAGACGTTAAACCGAGGTCCTGACTCTCTGTGGTCATTAAAAATCCCAGGATGTTATTCGAAAAGAGTAGAGGTGTGACCTCGGCATCTTGGCCAAATTTTCCCATTGGCCTCTGACCATCATGGCCTCCTAACCATCCCCATATCTACTGATTGGCTTCATCACTCTGTCTCCTCTCCACCAATAAGCTGGTGTGTGGTGGGCGTTCTGGCGCACTATGGCTGCCGTCGCATCATCCAGGTGGATGCTGCACACTGGTGGTGGATGAGGAGATCCCCCCTCACATTGTAGAGCACTTTGAGTGCTTAGAAAAGCAGAAAAGCGCTATATAAATGTAATGAATTATTATGTTATTATTATTATAACTAAGCACAGACCAATGAAGAACATGACCTGCATCACTGAGGTTTCAGGAGGACATTATCCATTTCCTGGGCTTTGACTATAGACAGCAGGAGTGAGCTTACATTGAGCAGATACTATAACCTACGTAATTTAAAGGGACTAATTTGAACTAATGTTCAGAACGTTTGAGTTTTTAATTTTTTGGAAAGAATTATTTTATGCTCACCAATCATTTATTTGATCAAAAATACAGTAAAATTGTAACTGTGAGATATCATTGCAATTAAAAAAAAATTATATATATTTAAAAATATATGATGGCAAAGCTGAATTTTCAGTGTCACATGATCCTTCAGAAATCATTCTAATATGTTCATTTGGTGCTCAAGAAAAATGTATCATTATTATTATCAAAGTTGAAATCAGTTGTGCTGCTTAATATTTTTTGTGGATTCTAAACTTCATTAATTTAGAATCCACAAAAAAAAATTAATTTGTTAAATTTATTCATTTGGAAAAATAATCTTATCCCAAACTTTTGAATGGTAGTGTAGTTCATACAAAAATTTTAATTCTGTCATCATTTATTTACCCTTATGTCTTTCCAGCTGTTATACATTCACTGAATGAAAAAACAATTTTAAAGCAGTTCTTTCTCAATTAAAATTCTGACATTATAATTATAATAGCTTATAGGTTTGGATTGACAAAAGAGTGAGTAAATACTGACAGAATTTTAATTTTGTGTGAACTATTCGCTAAATGTAAATGGGTGATGTGTTCAATTAAAGTTGGAATTAAATCAAAATGTTTAAATATGCTATTGATCTTGTGAATGATCAACAAGCAATCAACAACCAATGGATAGAACTAAGTCCCACTCTACATTTTTTTCCTTCTTTGATAATCCAGTTCACTCAGATGTACATCAAAATACTGAAGAAAACATCTGTTGCTACTTCTGTTAATTGCGACTTTATAGGCATATGAAGATCTTTTTTTCTCTGCCTCTCTCCTGTTAATGTCCTTTTGTGCTAATAAGCACCTGTTTCTCACATTGCAGAAACCTCAAACAACTACAGTAGCACACTTATTTCAATGAACTTCACATTATATATATAAATATATATGTATTGAGTGTGTATGTTGATTCTTTAAGTGTCTCATTACCATAATCGTACGTTTGCAGCTGTGATCTCTTTTCACGTTAACAGTCTCCTTTTCCACTTTCTCTTCTTGCTCTCTTCTCTCCAGGTCCTGCAGAATCAGGCCTGAGGGCACTGTGGGATATTTCTGGCTATGAAGTCTGAAGGTCTGAATGTCTGGAGCTCTGGGGCATTGGAGAGATACTGAAGGTCCAGTTCAGTGCACTCTACAGGAGCATGAAGCCCCCAGGCTGTTTGCTGCTCTACGGCACAGCAGGGCCTCACTGCAGACTGTCCTCCTACCAGAGTGAGAATGACATGCTGGCTGGAGAGGGAGGAGTCTGAAGAAGAAACTTCAGGTGTTTCTGTTGCCTGCATGATGACTCCCGTTCCAGGATCTGTGCAGGCAGAACTTCGCATCAGAGGAAGAACCTCACACCTATGCAGGCCAAGATTAGAGGTAATCGTGGTGGTGATGTCATTAAGCGTGCAGGGGTGCTTCAATAGCAGGCAAGGATCTTACGGGACACAGACCAAACAAGTCAGGCACACAATCATCACATCTCTTTCTTTCTCTCTTTTAAATAAATATACAAATACACATAATGTAATTATAAGCACTGATGATTTTGGTGCCATATTTCTTAATAAATATTATATCTTAACATACATGAAACAAGATAAATTTAGTTGAGAATCAAAGTGTCAGATAATAAGCCCTTTTTTCAGAGAATGTATATAAAAATTAAGCAAATTTTTCCTGTTGGTAAATTATTTCATTTAATGAACACAAAGTCATTTTCAGAGACCAACAGCCAAGGTCAGAATTGTTGTTAAATAATTAGCGCTGGGCAGCGATTAATCACGATTATTCGCATCCAAAATACAAGTTTTTGTGTACATAATATATATGTGTGTACTGTGTATATTTATTATGTATATATAAATACACACACAAGCATGTATATATTTAAGAAAAATATGTTATGTTTATATATTATATATATATATATATATATGCATACTTGTAAATACATGTAAATATTTTCTAAATGTATACTGTATGTATGTGTCTTTATATATACATAATAAATATACACAGTACACATTATGTTCACAAAAACTTTTATTTTGGATGCGATTAATCGTTGCCCAGCACTATAAATAATACATTAAATTTAGGTTTGGTTTTCACCAAACCCTGTCATATACCCCCAGAACACTTGGAATATATGGCACATGATGTATGGGACCATTCTGTGTAGGGATGCACCGAATGTTCGGCAATGTACACAGTACACACACATATTATGTACACAAAAACTTTTATTTTGGATGCGATTAATCGTTGCCCAGCACTATAAATAATACATTAAATTTAGGTTTGGTTTTCACCAAACCCTGTCATATACCCCCAGAACACTTGGAATATATGGCACATGATGTATGGGACCATTCTGTGTAGGGATGCACCGAATGTTCGGCAACCGAAATTATTCGGCCGACAATAGCAAAAAAAAAAGCTCTTTCGGTGTTCGGCAGGATCAGCGAAAAGACAAAAATAAATTGTACCGAACAATGATGTTACACGCACATGATAATGATAACACGCACTAATGCAGCAAACATGTCGGCAGTGTGGAAGTATTTAAAACTGTCAGAGAAAGATGCAAAAATCATTACAAGCACTGACAGCAAGAGACTGTTTAGTACTGCATCACATGTCTTCGATGAGAAGTGGAAGGGTGGTTGTTGCTTTTTACTGTATGATGACTGAAATCATGAAATGGCCTTAAACAATTAGTAAATAAATTGCAGAATGTTATGTTTTCTAATATACGCACGCATTGCATGTATTCTGACAGCGCTGCACAAGCTCGCGGCTCTATCTGCTTGTTTGCCAGGGTTCAAAGTCCAAAGCGAGAGGAAAATATGCGCTGAAACAGTCAGTTGCTCAGTAACATTTTTATGAATTTATGAAAATTTTTAAAGGCATGTGACAATGAGATACGTGCGACAAACATCTTCCCAAACTCGTAATGAGAATCATTTATAAATCTGGTGTCAGCTGCACTGAGGACTTCCTGCGGGTTTCTGCCAAAATAAAAGCTGAGAAAAAGCAAGAATTCCATCGACATTCATAAATGTTAGTATTGTAATTTTACTGTTGTTCTGTAAAATAAAATAAAAAAGACAATAATAATGATAATAATAATTACAACAGCTCTATTAATTAGAGGTGCTTTGATCAGGATTTTTGAGGCCGATCGCCGATCACAGAAAGCAGTATCTGCCGATACCGATCATCAATACCGATCTTTTTAAAGCCTTCTTTTTATCATTTATAACTATTTATAGTGATACTCCAATCAGGATTTTTTGACATTTACTCAGTGCCTTAATTTCATTTTTGAAAATGGGGGGAATTCCCCTCTTAGGTGACTCTTGTTGGGGGGATTTTTTAATTTGAGGGGTGGAGGGGGCATTTTTTAGATATTTTTCAAATATATTTATCTGACCTAAATGTTCGACCATGCAGTGCATTTTTGTTTTTACAATTGTGCAATTGTTGCACAATAGCTTACACACAGCACAAGCCTGATTTTGTGAGCTGTATGTGAGGCGGCCTTGTGTGTGAGCTTTGAGTGTGCATGAGCGCACCGTCTCTAGGAGAGCGCACGAGTGCTGAATGGCTTAAAAACTGGCAAGACTTAAAAAGAAATGCAGTTTAGTGATGATGCGACACTGCTTTTATTGTGCAAGTGACAATTCCTGTGTCAACTGTGCAGCATGTAGCTTATTTAATAAAGAAATATGAATTGTACCTCCCCTTCAGCTTTATAATTATTTTACCT